ACTTTAAAGGGTTTGAATGACATTGGGGCAGTGTCGCAGCGAGCATAACAGCCAGTTAATGCTTTTGAGATGAGTGCACTAAAATATTAATGGGGGTCCTAGGCAAGGAAAGGTCATCCCTGAGACTTAGATTGAATAATAAGAGGGCTAGTAGCAACTGCCGTGAACCTTAAGTAACACCAGCTAGTAAGGCACAGCGAAAGTGCATCTCAGGCAACAGTGGTGATGCTGTAAGTGCTGTTATCTGATAATAGATTAAACACTTTCTTTTGCATACACAACGTGTACACACATGCTTGTAGCTGAAGGTTGAAATAAACTCAGCAGCAAACACCACCATGTCGCATATTGTCCAGATGGTCCAGAAATCAACCAGACAACAAGTTAATTTATTCCACAGATTCTGGTTCAGATATAGCCACTCGAGATTATTCAGTGTTAGACTCAAATGGGCTATAATCCATTATGGTGACTTGGTTAGCCACAGTAACAGTGGCTGTTGTAAACAGGTACAGAAAAGGTAAAACAGCGTGGGTTAAGATAGAATGGGAAGCTCTGTATTTTGATTGGTATCAAGTCAACTCAAGTGAATTTTATTTTCATAGCTTAAATAAAAAAATAAGAAATTCACCTCAGCAGGCTTTACAATCTGCACAACACTGATCTAAAAAGGCAGACAACAGTAAATACAGAAGCAGTGAAATTGAGAAATAAAAAGTTTAAAAAGTTTTGGACTACCCATAGAAGACCTACAAATATACTGGAAATATTGCTCTTTACCCGTAAGCCTTCTTCAGGAAAAACACAGTAACTACAAACAAAATGTCTTTTCCATGTAAAGAAAAACTGAAATCAACAATAAATAAGTCTAGAATTGAATACATTGACATCATGATTGAATTTAGACTCATTTAGGTATGTAGAATAATACATTAATAAACAATATATTTTTCATAATCCAGTTTCTTGTGTTGTAATAATTTTGAATTACTAAGATACTAATGGATAGTTTTGAAATAGTACATTTTGTTTTAGCATTAGCTAAGGCTAGCGGTGGCTATATACCTAGCTATCTCTAGTTTTAGATGTCTCTCTATCTCTATAAGTTCTATATCTTTCTGTCACAATTTTACATGCTATTTTCACAAAATGATACATTTATATGGCACATGTTTTATGATAAAAACAGATGCTAAAAAGTCAGATTCCTTTTGTAACTTAATTTTGAAATATGTAATTACTGTGTTTTGTTTTTTTTAAGGTCAGAATATACAACACTGTCAATCCTATACCCTCATTCAAATAAGAAAAACCTCAACAAAAATTCCCTTAACCCTCTCCTCTTCTCTCCTTTCACACAGTTTAGTCCAATAAAAAGGCACTAAATTCATAAAGCTTTTTTCCTCTTGCCTCTACTTTTGCACAACTTCCCTGCCTCTCCATCTTTTTTCCCCCTTTCTCTTTCCTTTATGCTGTGCCTCAACTCTAAGCCTGTACAATTTGCCCTCGATGTGTTTCAAATTACATGCCACATCAAATAAAGCTACAAGCGTGAGTGCAAGTGTGTGTATGTGTGAGTCCTTTGGTATTCTACCACCTTCAGAAGCAGATTCCTATTAAATGAATCTCTGGAGTTGAGCTCAGTGTTCAGAATGAGTAACACAGTGTTGTAATAGATCTGATAGACATTGCATACTGTGCCGTTATCTCTGACCTTTCTTTCTTTCTCTCCTCTCTCCCCTCTATTCCTCTGCCTCTCTCCTCTGCAATCATTTAAAGGAAGCGGAGGTAAGTAAATCCATTGTGTTTGTAATTGAATAATACTATTCAGAAACATACTGCAGTACCTTCCTGGAAGCCCCAGACATTGTAATATTTTGTCTGATACTTGGTTTAAGGCATTGTTGCAGAGCTGGAGTGGTTTAAATGCACAGCCGGTTGGGTGCCACAATGTAGTATAGTATTACATATTAAAATTCTGCTTTTGTTGTTTGATAGGTTTCATAGATGCAAACATTGCTTCAATCACAGTATATCAAGTTTCAAAAGTATTATCAGTCAGTACACACTACAGTTTTCAATAACCTTAAACTCACAAAAATTTAAATTAGACCTTTCTTGGGAATTAGCTAGTGTTCATGTCAGGGAACCTTATATTACATGGGCAAAAGTATGTGGACACCCACACATTATGCCCATATTGATTGTTGATCCGCTCATCCTTCTTCTGGGAAGACTTTCCACAACATTGTGTAACCTTGCTGCAGACATTTTAGCCACAAGAGCTTTAGTGAGTCCAACACTGTTGTTTGATGATAAGGCTTCATCCGGTGTTGGATGGGGTTGAGGTTATCGAGTTCTTCTATACCAAACTCTGAACATAATTTCTTTATTGATATTCTTTGTGCACACGGTCATTGTCATGTTGCTACTGTATAGGGCTGCACATTTAATACAAATATTATCTAAATCATTATATGGACAAGTGCAATATCAAAATTGCAGAAGCTGCAATATTTTGATAAAGGTGAAACGTCTGACAAAACAATTTTTGTTTGCTGAAAGCTCAAGAGAAAAGGGGACCTACACACTGAATTGACGGTCCCAAAAACACAATATATTAGGCATAATTACTCATTTAAATTATTAATTGCATGAATTACAGGTTCAATCTGGGATTCATACCTGGGTTGAATCAGGTGTATGTATACCTTCTTGGTCTCCTAATTAATATTACCTGATGAAGACGTAATGTTGAAATGTTGTAATTCACTGTTCATATAAAAGATATAAAGCATTCCCTGAACAGAACTCGGCTCTGATATTTAATGACCTGTTAGAGTTTACTTACTGTATATATGCATATATAGAGAGAATGGATTATTCAAAGCATGGACAGTCTTTATCACTCTCTAAGAATAAAATTGTTATGATTTAACATTTGTCTAAAATGGTGTAGGCCTCAGTTAGAACTTTGCAGAAATTACTTTTTCCACAGTTACTGTGCACTTTCACAGCCGTGAAGAATCATTTTATAATAAAGAAAGAGCAGGAGAGATGGACAAAATAAGAGAAAAAAAAGAAGTGAGGACATGAGTGAAGGAAGGACCTAAGGGGGAAGCTAATTAGGTTTCATCTCATCATTTCAAACTTTTGCGTTGGCTCAAGTGTCGGCAGTTGTCATTTATAGAACAAGTACTGGATGAGTGGGTCAACTGTCCATTTTCTGTGGACTGTTTCCTATAACTGCCTAATTTAGCCTCTCTCTCTTTCTCACGCCTTCTCTCTCACTTTTATTCAATAATAAAGGAGGTAGAGATCAACGCAGCAGGTCTTCTCTGCCTCGTTCACATAGTGTCACTGACACAGGCTTACTCCCTGCTGACACACATATGGTTCGCCCTGGGCACTACTTCAGATGCAGACACCACCACTGTGTGGCTGTGTGTGTGTTTGTGTGTGCAAATGCATGTTTTTGTTACCTACTGGGGACCTTTTCTGGTATAATCACTAACCTTGTCAAGACCAGTAGTCCTCATGGGGACCAAAGACCAGTCCTAATGCAGTAAAAGCTAATCCTGGTTAGGGGTTAGGAGTACAGTGTAAATTGATGTTAGGTTAAGGTTAGGGTTGGGCATGAATTTGATTAGGGTTATGTTCGTGTGTGTATGGGCAAGTATGGCTCACAATATCACATTGACTTACACTGGCACTTAACAGTCGAGTGTGTAACATTTAGGAGGATCCTATTGGCAGAAATGGAAAGAAATCTAATAGTCATAGGTATGTTTTCATTAGTGTATAAACCCCTTAAAATAAAATCAGCTGTTTTTATTTACAGACGCTATGGGTCACCTTTTGTGGAGGCTGCCACATTGAGCTGCCATGTTTCTACAGTAGCCCAGAACAGACAAGCCAAACACAAAGATAGGGCAAATTTTTTGCACGATTCACGGCCACTGTAGTTTCCCCTTGCACTTGGAAGGGTGAACCGACTGAGTTGCAGTCTGCAACTACACTGCTACATGCCATCAGCTGATCATCACCTGATATACCTGAGCATCAACCTGTTCACATACCAGAGAGGTCTATTGAAATGCACATTGCTTTTGCTGCTGCTATTCTTACTCAGTGGCTGCTACTGCACTGCAAGTCCTGCCTTCATCTACATGTTAGTCCTATGAACTGATTCACAGATTATTAACTAATATTTTCACTTGTTTGTGTGCTATGCACATAACACTAAACAACAATGCTTAAGCGGTATCTCTTTTCATAATGGGCTTTTTAATTGCTCTACAGAATAGAATATGTCTGTAGCTGGGCAGGGAATCTGCTCTGAATGAAACCATTGAATCAAAGTGTAAAAACCTCTTCTCAACTGAGCTTAGCTGTGACAAGCCAATTATTTTCTCTTTTAATATTTTCAGTTGATGAGGCTTTCTCTGTGTCTGCAGACTATACTGTATCTGGACAATAAGAATAATGTGCGCTTGTTAAAATATGGTTTTGGGAACATCCCAACAGCTATAATGTGACACCAACTATCTTTCCCCTCAAAATCCCTCTTCTCCTCTTGACATTTTTTCCTAAGAACAACAATACTTTGAACTGTTTTTCAGAGCAGAAGTCTATTTTGACCTTGACTTTAAATGTTTTTGTCCAAGTTAAACCCCCTTTTTTTAAACTAGAGCCTGTAACTTTCTTTGCTCCCTAGTGTCCTGCAGATTTCTCTGTACTGGATATTTGGGGCCTATTTTTAAACGTCCAAACAAGCTTCTACCTTTACCAATATCTTTCAGTTTTCTGCTGCAATCATTCATTTTTACAAAACACAAGTATAAAAGAACAAAAGAAGAGAAGAATGAGGACAGGATTTCTCAGTAGTGTGGTTTAGTATTTGGGCTGTTCTCTCTGTGCTCTACAAAATAATTCAATGATATTCTCGGCATGGAGTTATTTTTTCATAACCCAGTTTCTTGTGTTGTGTTTCCACTCAGGATGACTACTTCAAAAGCTGGGCTCCTGCCAAGTCTCTAGACCAAGGTGAGTCCTGCTGTTTGTGTGTGATTCTATATTTATATTAATGCATATTGTATATGAGACTTACGGTGGATATTACACCTCAGTTCTTTTTTGGTACTGATCAAAATGTGTCTGTAGCATCAAACTTTAAAAGCTGTCAAATATTGAACGTTTACATTGAATGCTTGGCCACATACTAAACCTTGTTTTATTTGATCAGATACAGTATATAGAGATCTAAATCCAGAAATAAACAACATGAAACATTATTGCAATGAGAGGTTTGACATATTTCATTAAATTACAAAAGCGATTTACAGAAAAATATATACATTCCTCAAACAAGATTTAGTATCAGATAAGTCAACGGATATATCCTCTATTAAATCCAGAGTCATTTTTTGGTAGAAGCTAATTTGGCATCATTACCACAGGACAATCCTTAAAGGACTGCTCATTACTTTTACATTTTCTGTTCCTTTCAAGTTAATTGTAGCAGTCTTTAAAAACATGTGGTCTACAACTGATATTTGCCACAAGATATTTTTATCAGTTTTACCAAACATATCAGGCTCGTTCACTCCCATTCAACTTCAAAGATTTAAAATGACTTTGAAGAGTTCTAAATCAGGTAAAGGCTATCCATCGTTGTTACCTTTATATATCAAACATGGTAAAGTACATCTACACCTTCTACACCAGTGGTTCCCAACCTTTTTCCTGAAGGGACAGCTTTTCTAGTATTAACTGATGACCCCCAACAAAGGGACATATTTTATTTTAATGATATTTCATTTTACATAACAATTACATTACAGAACAACTAAACAATGAACCCAAACAGTGGACACAATAACTACAGGAAGTTTGTGTAAAATGCAATTTGGATGAATTTTGAGCAGATTATTTCCTGTTAATATTGATCAGAGATTAGTTTTCCTTATATGTTAAGGAACTTTTTACGCAATTCTCTGTCTGTGTTATGTTTTTTTTTTTTTTTTTTTAACTGTCATACATTATTAATAGGCCTCTTTTTTTTTGACAAATTCAGTGTTTGAATTGCTGAGATATAGGACTACTGTGTATATTCTTTAAGTCTTCTTACACTTAAAATCAAGAAGGCTCTGCGACCTTTGGCGACCCCTAATTGGGGTCCTGACCCCCAGGATGGGAACCACTGTTCTACACTAATGTTAGGACCTGTGTCGTGTCACAACCAGGGAACAGACAAACTGAAGCAAGAATCGAACGCATAACATTAAACAGGAAATAATACTGGATTTTAATCAGAACCTAAATCATATGCAGGCAGTATAATAAATATTATCAATGGTTAAAACTGTATCTCCTGAGGCAATAAAAGTAGTAAGTAGTAGTAATAAAAATCGTCTACTGAACAGTGATTGATTTAAAACAGTATGGTGAACAGTGTGTGTGTGTGTGTGTGTGTGTGTCTTTTTCCAAGGCCAAATGCTCCTACTTTTAACAGTTACCTAGTGCTTACGGACTTACTATGGCAACAATGCCAAGTCCACTTCATCAATCACACTCAAGTGTGTAATGCTCTTAGACCCCCAGTAACTCTTGACTAAACTCAATTATTACAAACACTCGCTTACTCTCACTCACACTCAAACACTTCTAAGTCTCAACGTTTCACACATACCTACACACACACACACACACACACACACACACACACACACACACACACACACACTGACATGTACATTATGGGAGTTGATTGGACTGCACCTCTCTGAATAGACTTTAAATCTTACTACCACAGAGTATGTTCTGTGCTGTTCGGGCTTGGTTTTGCATATCTAGCACAGTAACTGTAACTCTTCAGGGAGAGACTTGCTGAGCAGGTTTATCTGGGCCAGCTCCACATGGATACTGAGCCTAATGAGAGCAGCCTCGCCTCAGTGCATCAAAATCTAGACTTACTCTCTAGTTTCTCAGAGAAAACTACAGTAAAGACAGAAAGTAAACAGAGCTTCATTCTTCTAACAAGGGACTAAATTCAAATTATGAAGGATTCCTTTGTCCCCAAATCCAGGAGTTGCACATGTACAGAAGCTTGATTTAACAGCTAATGCAAAAATTTACTAACTGGATGTTTTTTATTGTAAAGCTACTGTATAGCTGACACATTGTTGTCCAAACTTGGCGGCTGTTCTTTGTTTCCCACTAAGGCCAAACCTTAAGTATCCAGTGTCTATAAACTATAATATTTTCCCTAAAACTTACAACATTGTTTTTATGCCTAAATCAAACCAAATATTAACCAAAGCTTTGGCACATCTAAAAGCTTCTTTACTTTTCAAAATTGATAAAAATAACTATTTTGGAAGGAACAGATATTAGATAGATAGATAGATAGATAGATAGATAGATAGATAGATAGATAGATAGATAGATAGATAGATAGATAGATAGATAGATTACGTTGTCCTGCTGAAAACACACAATGTTTTGTTGGGCATAGACAAACCTATTTTTAGCGAGAGATGTCAGTAATTACTTTGTTTACATGAGTATAATGTTGTTACCAATAGAACTGATAGACAGAGCTAATTGTGGCCGGGGATGGGCTTTAGAAGCTTACAGTTTTTATAATTTTTTTTCAATATTTCCTACATTTAGAAAAATGCTTAAAATCTTTCCTGAAAACCTTTCCTTCTCTAAGTTTTCTTTAGGCTTTTACACTGCCCACTTCACACAGTACACTACGTGCATTTAAGTCACTGTAACATTTTGAGAAGACATAGTGCAGTGACTTTCTGCTCTTCTGTCTGTGTGCTTTGTTCTCTAGAGAGACGTTCAATGTACTTGAAGCATAGAGCAGCTTTGTGCCAATTAGACTCTTTATGGGCGTGCATAAAGGCATTTTTCTCAATCTTCTTTTTATCTTCACCTGTTCTGCCGCAGCAATGCACTTCAGCTGCAATATGACTGCTCCCCTGCTGCAGAGCTGCTAACGTCACTATGCACAATGCAGTTACTCCTACACAAACAGCACACCTGGGAGTAATGGACAGAAAAACAATTATGCAGCGAATAAATAACGGGAATCAGCCAGACAATCTGGTCCGCTGCTGGAACATTTGCTGTTTTTATGTGTCTGAATTGCTTCTGGTGGGACATCACACTTATAACTGTTAACTTCACCTTCTGACTCCAGCCAGTGTCAGCATAGTAGGCTTTTAATATGAGTCATCCAGTGAGACACATAATAATGGCAAATGCCTGAATCATTTTCTAGAACAAAGCTCATTTGTCTTATTGATTTCTTCATTCTATCAGAGCACATTTAGATTTTTGATGGGTGAGGATCACTTTGTAGATAATTGTAGATAATTGATCATTGTAGATAAGACGTAATAAAAACAGAGTCAGTTTGAGTGTTGTAATAAAATCTGCGGTGTCTGGTCTGATTACAAAAGTCGTGTCTGACTACACCACTTGGTTTGTGGTCAGTGCAGCCGAAAGTATAGCGGCATCAGTCACTACTTGCTGATCTCAGTTTGACTAATGAATCACTGGTCGCCCTTGGAGACTAATCAGCAGCAGGAAGGTTGATGGGGGGAAATCCAGTCCCCTAATGAATCACTTGCTGATTTCCGTAGCCTCTAATGAATGAAATCAGTAAGATCAAAAATTACTTGTTGGTGATACTGAACAGCAAGCTATCAGACTCAGACTGTTCTTGCGGCTTATTGAGGTCCAGCAGTTGATATGTAGCTTATTGTGGAGCAGTGGTAAACATGTGTTCGAATCCAAACCAATCCTACTGAATTTGAGAAAACAGTCTGTAGGTCCAGTTGGCTGCTTAACCTCTCTGAAGTGGTCGTATGTTGCAACTCATCAGTATAGTGATATTATCAACATCTCGGGATTATGCTGTTGATTTAGTTTTGCATGTATTCCTGGTTTCTGTGTAATTCTGTTTCCTGTATCTGTTTGGCGACAGCAGGCCAAACAAAATTTTCAAATAAAACAGGGACTTTTTCTTGCAACAAAATCCTGATTTTATATATAGCTAGTGTGATTTTCCCAGCCTGTGTGGCTGGTGTTATGGAATAATTTATTCTGTTTTTTGTAATTTAAACCAACGTTTAAACCAAGTTCTTTAATTAGCATATGACTATAGTTTTGATAATTGCTTTGGGATGATAAAGTCGGTTTTGCCAGTTTTTATGTTTGAAAAAGGCAATTATTTGGCATATTTGGTCATACTTTTATGAAAGTGTTTGCTCTCTAAGAGGCTCCATCACCATATATACTGCTGTAGAAGCTGTTCATAGGCTGTGATACTGTAAATGAATTTTAGATACCAACAGAGTAGGATGTACGCCAGCAGTGTCAAAGACCCTGTTTACACTATGTTTTAAAATACAGCCGAGGAACATCGCCCTTTTCACCTGAATCTGTCGCGTGTCTCCAAGGTCTCCAGCTGACCAAGTGTGTTCAGATTTTTGTTACTGTCTTCATCATTTCCGTTAGAAGGTCAGAGGGCCCAGCGCATTACCTTACCAGTCATTACCTCAGTATGTCACCAGACAAGCAGCAAATTTGTTTTTTTCGCATGGGCTAGCTAAGAAAACAAAAAGGTTTCACTCCAGCCATGTACATCTGTTCTCTCCATTTTTTCAAGTGTTGCCGTACTGTCACCAAGACCACTACCACGTCCTGCATTTTCCTACATCCTTGTTGGAGACGCATCAGGATTAGCACTTACCCTACAAAAGAAATGCGGTCAAATGCATCCCAGACCACCTCGGCAAGTGGTTTGAGTGATTGGATCACAATGCGTCCTGATGATCTTTGACACTTCTACTGAGTGCTGTCCGCTTGTGATCCGATTGCCCAAGACGCAAGTGTAGACATGTCAAATAGTTACCACGCTTTAGTAGTCTGGTAATGTTTTAAAATAGTATGGTATGGGTGGACCGCTTTTACGTAAGCATATGTGAATACATTTGTGGATTTTCATTTGTGGTCTAATCCAGTTCCCT